AAACTTGTTTTTCTAATCATATGTGAATTTAGTCATATATTATTAAAACTATTATAAATATAAAATGTGTAAATGACATATGAATTTAATCAAATGAATCCGAGATTGAACATAGTCACTATAAATAGAAATTCATTGATCATATAATTGAATGTAAATCACATATGATTACTATGTTACTAATATAGATATTATCAGAAAGTAATATATGAGTAAACATCAAAAAATCATATATGATTAAAGACCGTCAAATTTATTAATATAACACAATGTTAATCATATGCGATTTAGAACATAATATTGCATGTAATGATTGTTTTTTTTATCACTTTTTTCTTTCTTTTGTACGTTTTTTCATATGCTTTTGGTTTTTCTGCATGTATAAAGCGAGATTATTATTGTCGTAATTAGTAGATAAACAAAATAAATAGCCATTAATCAAAAACAGAGCATAACAATAAAAAAACCCTAGATAACAAATAAAATATACTATTATTCAACTTTATTAGGTTAATAGTTAGTAGATAATCACAAATGATCAATCGATGTCGTCATAATCAATATATAACACTTGTAATTGAAAAATAAAGTATAAAATTCAAAAAAAACCCTACATATAACACTCGATAACATTTAAAATCGAGTGCTATCACCTAAAATATTTCAGTAACTGTTTATATTTTGAAGACAAATAACGACATCTAAAATACTAGTGTAAAGTTTATTCTCTTATTATTGTAAATTCAAAACAAAATCAAGGAAGGCGTCGATTTTTACCTAATGCATTTGTTCTCAGGAAATTAGTCGTTGACGGCATTTTTGATTTTATCAAGATTTTGTTGTTCGATTTTGATGATTATCGGCGAAGATTTAGGGTTCTCTCGAGGTTCTTCTTTTCATAAAAGTAGAGTGCAAAGTTATGGGGAACGAAATGAGGGGGAACGAGAGTAGTTATGTAACGAAGGATTCAGTTTCGTTTTGCATTTACAATATTGCCCCTAGCCCCCACATTTTTAAATTTTTATTTGCTGTGCATCTAGTTTTGAATTAATTGAAAAATTGTCACCTTGTTAAATTAAAAGGTAATTTTTGTTCTCAAATGTTCTCACAGTAATAAATTTTCTCGATTGAACGCTCCCATATATATATATATATATATATATATATATATATATATATATATATATATATATATATATATATATGACAGTTCGGTTCGAGTATCCGTGAATATCTAAATATCAAAACCAAAACTGACCCGTAAATACTAGGTTTTTTCGGTTTCTATGTCGGTTTTTCCGGTTTCGGATTGGTCAGATCGGCTCCGGTTTTTTTTTTTTTTTTTTTTCCGGATTTTTGCACACCCTTAGTCTTTAGGGTTGCTGATAACCCATAGTTGTTTACATATGCTATGCTATGTGTGGTATTTTGGGGAACTCACTAAGCTTTGTGCTTACGATTTGTGGTTTATATGTTTTTGGTTTTCTTATATTAAAGGAGGGGCACAACTCGATTACATCGCATCAATAGGGGACTTATGCACATGATAAATTTTTATGATACTCTGATAAATGTTTTAAGATCATGTGGTTGTGAATTGAATAAATTCTTAAGTTTTAAATTGAAATTTTTTGGGGTTGAAATTTGGGGCATTACAAGCAAAGGGAAAAGAACAATGATTATGAATGAAATGAGGGAACCGGGTGATTTTACAAACAATAAATGAAAAAGGGAAGATCATGATAATGGTGGTAGGGGTAGTGTTAGTGGTGATGGTGGTGAAGATAAGGATGAGGATAAGTTTGAGGGTGATTTTGAATTTGAAAAAGTGAAATGAGAAGATGAAGATAGGAGCAAGAAGATTGTGAAGAAGGGTTCAGAAGTAAAGGAGTAGAAGAAAGAAAAGAAGGAATATGGTGTGGTGGCTACAAAACATTCATTGAATGCTGCAACTGAACAGACTATGGGGGTGAGGGTTCATGATGATCCAAAGACTTTGAAGAAGAGTTTATAGAAGGATAAGAAAAGGCATGAGAAGATTTTAGGGAAATTAAAGGATAGAGTTGAAACACATGAGAAGTTCAGGAGGGAAGAAATAGTCAAAGAGGATATGGAATATTAACAAAGGGATAACCAGAAGAAAGCTAGGAACCTTTCCAAAAAGGAGAAGAAATTAATGAGGTATGGATTTAATAGCCGAAAAGAAGGATATATTGGTGAATAAGGTACCAAAATTTAATCCATTTTTTTGAATGCTTTATGTTGCTTATTATGATTAGGGGTGATCTTTTTTATGTGTACTTTCTGTTAGCCTTGAATTTAACAAAAATTCATCTCATTTCGCAAGGTGTTGATCAATCCAAGGAGATCTTCTTTGATGACACCGATGATCTTCATTCCATCAATCGTGTCGCTTATATCATCGACAAACTGAACGAAGATATCCTTCCACTCAAGGATCTCACCGACGTTAATCTCCATCGATGTAAGCTTGTTTTCTAATATTGCCAAGGCATCTACTGATTGGTCGCTGTTCTTGGGTTTTCATCTGTTCTCCTCGATGAGAGGGGGATGTTGGCTACTTCACTTGCTCGTTCCATGGTTATAGTCTATTACTTGTTCAAACGTGGCTCTGATACCACGTGTCACAAGACGACTCAATCACCATATGCCACTTAATTTATCTTCGACTAAGTCAAACTTACTACACATCCTTGGATGTACTAATGACTTGGAAAGAAAAAGACTAAAGCTTTATAGTTACTACAAACTAAAGAGAATTTATATTAAAAAACTCGAGAGAGTACAAAGCAAGTTCCGATGGTTTGGAGCAAATGAGCTCCTTCCTTATTTATAGTCTCCTTACACCTCATCTCGGGAAGTTTCCAGAGATTATTATTTACATGTCACATTCAAGTTTAATCTAGATCTTTCTACCTAGCTGCATGTATTTTCAAGACTTTATGAAAAGTGGTAGATCATTTTCCGATGTCCTAGAGAAGTTTATGATGTGCTGTGGTCTTCCAAATCATTATTGTAAGTTATAGCGTTTCCTTAAGTGCTCCAACAAATTTTAGAATCTCGATTGTGAAATTAGGGTATAGATTTAAAATCAATTTTTTGAGCATTTTGTATAATCTAAAACAAATTAAAAATCTAGAGTATTTTTAAGTCAAATTCTTCAATGTAAAACTTGAAAGGTAAGCATTCTTCCACCTCCTTGTTATTTAAGCTTCATTGTTTTCCAAATACGAATTCTATGATGAACCTCATGATTCTATCAAGTTTAGTTTTGAATTATAAGTTTATAACACTAATTTCAATGACGAAAGTTTATCTCTATGATAAAAAAAATGTGTTCATGAAGCTTTAGGGGTGGCTTGAAACCCTAACTTCATTAATTCACTAATGGATCTCATAGAATTCAATTTATATGTATTATTTAAGTTTATTGTTGTGTTTTAGATGTAATTTTAGTGGTTTGAAACCCCAACCAACTTATAGTAGTTAAAGTGGGGCAAAATGTATATGACATTACGAAAAATAGTTCAAAACACATTACTTGGTTTTGAAACATATGAAAAATGTACATGTTTTATACATTTGAGCGATTGTTGTGTTTTAGATGTAAGTTTATTGCTGCGTTTTATACGTATTGATTAAGTTTTATTGTTGTGTTTTAGAAGTAATTTCATTTGTCCAAAACCCCAACCAACATATTTTGTATGGAAAAATGTACATATTTTATACATTTGGGCTATTTTCGTTGTATTTGGGGCTATGTTTGCCGTAAGCATTAACCAACGTAGTGTTTAGTCATGGAAGTGCCTTTTGTATGACATTAAAGGTATTAATGGTATGAATGATATCAATAAAATATATTTTTTTTGTAGTCTAGGTTTGAATGTTATTATTTGTGTGTCATGTTTTCTCTATGATAGAAAGATAATAATGATATATCATATATCTAAGTTTTTCCAAGTTTGATATGATGGATTTTGAATAATAGTGTCCTAATATGTGCATGTTTGAAAACTATTACAGAAGTGTCAGCATAATGAGGTAATAATTTTCAAGTTACAGTGCAAAAAACTAAAAGATTTTCTATCCTAATAAACCCATTCCTAAAGTGTTATTATAGTAAGAATATAGTATCATCGTATGTAAATGTTTTCACGTATGAGTACCGGGTATGTCGAGTCTTAAACCCGAAATCATAAATTTAAATGGCTTTTTTACTTCTTGCAATGTGTCGATTATTGCTAATAGAAAACCTATCTGCCCATGTTTTTACCTTATGCGAACGAGAGAAACTAGACTCCAAGAAACATTCGTTTTTTTCTTTAAGTGAGAATTAGCTCCAAGAAACCTTTGTTAACAAATCGATCATGTAATGGGGTGTTTAATAACCTACAATGAAGAGTAATGGGAAATTGACATTGTAATAACTTAATTAGTTAATTGTAAATTTTTTAATTTGTTGCTTAATTTCATTTGCAAACTATTTCACATTTGGCTAGGTATATGCCATTTAAAATACAAGTAACAAACAATCTTTTTACACATTTTCTACCGAACAACCATTGTTTTTTGTTCCAAACCTGCAACCAGTTCCAATGCAAAGATCCAACAAGTTTTGGTCATAATCGGTTCGGCGGTTCCATACCCGATTAACTCATACCACACTCAAACCAAACTGGAACCGGCTCCCTTCGGTTCGGTCTTTAATCATAGGAAAAGTTCATTTTCTGTTACTTCGATTTCGGTCTAGTTCCAAAATTGAACAAATCCATATTCCATGTGGGGGTTGACCGGAAAAACCTACAACCATTGGTCTAAAATGGTCATTAAGTTGCAAACTCATATTTTGGATCTTATTTAACACAATCTGAACTATTATGACTAAATAAATGGTCCTTCAAAACTCCGATTGTCGATTACAATAACCCTAACATAAATTTAAGTTATCTTGATTCTTGAGAATTTTAATTTATTTAAAGATGGTATTCTTTCCTTTTAATATAACAAATGGTTTTGATAATTTAATTAAAAACAATCTCATTATTATTTAACATAGAGAAAATTTAAACGGTTTATTAAAAGAAAATAGGCTTGAACTTGGTCCATCGGGCTTTCACTTAAAAGAAACTGACCAAGATACGGCTTAAACCTAATACAAGACACAACAACGCCTCCATTTGTCTGATTCTCTCCATCGCCTACGCCGCAACAGCTACCCCCGGAGACGTAGGTTCGTCTTCATCTATTTTTTTTGTGATAAGCTGCCCATAATATGGTTAATTATGATCTTGTTGTTTTTGAAAGGTGTTGATGCGGTTTTACGTTTACACGCATACATCCTTTTAACGATTAGATACGTTTTTCAGGTTTCGTTTTTTTTTTTCCTTTGCAATGAAGAAGAAGCTGCAAAAGGGGGCACTATCTACAGATGACCTCAAAACCCTAATCCATGATCATGCTCTTTTCTTTGACAAACTAGTTGAATTAATCCCTGCAAAATTCTACCTTCCCGTTGAAGAAGATTCAAAACCCTGGTTCCAAGGCCTGAGCAAAGGCAAAAAAGCCTCTCTCAAACAACAAACACGAGAAAACATCAAGAAATCCCGCCGTGATCGCCTTGACCCTGAGACATCACAAACCACAACACTAGACCTCCTCAAAAAAAGCATCAGCAAGAATGAAAACAGTAACAAGGATTCTGATGATGATGATGATGATGATGAAGAAGAAATCGAAATTAAAGTGAAGCCCATTACAAATTTCGACGGTGAAACAAGTAACAAGTCTGTTACCTATGAAGAGCTACGCCAGAGATTGCATTCTAAGCTTGAAATGCTTAAAGCGAATCGAGGGGAAGGGAAAAGAACAATGATGATGAATGAACGGAGGGAAAGGGGTGATTTTACAGACAAGAAACGAAAGAGGGAAGATCATGATAATGGTGGTAAGGGTAGTGGTAGTGGTGGTGGTGATAAGGATAAGGATAAGTTTGAGGGTGATTTTGAATTTGGGAAAGTGAAATTAGGAGATGAAGATGGGAGTAAGAAGAAGAAGGTGAAGAAGGGTTCAAAAGTACAGGAGTTGGAAAAGGCAAAGAAGTTGAAGGAAGCAAAGAAGGAAGATGTTGTGGTGGCTACAAAGCATTCATGGAAGGCTGCAACTGAAAAGGCGATGGGAGTGAAGGTTCATGATGATCCAAAGCTTTTGAAGAAGAGTTTACAGAAGGATAAGAAGAGGCGTGAGAAGAGTGCAGGGAAATGGAAGGAGAGAGTGGAGACACAGGAGAAGTTGAGTAAGGAGAAACAGTCAAAGAGGAGAGGGAATATTGAAGAGAGGGCTAACCAGAAGAAAGCTAGGAAGATTGCCAAGAGGGAGAAGAAGTTGATGAGGCCTGGATTTGAAGGGAGAAAAGAAGGATATATTGGTGATAAAAGGGATTAAAAGGGTACCAAGTTTAATCCTTTTTTGAATGTTTTATGTTGCTTATTATGATATGATTAGGTGATGTTTTTGTTTCTACTTTGTGTTAGCCTTGAATTTTAACAAAATTTTGATGATGGAAGTTTTGTTGTTAATATCGTGTTGTTTGAACTATGAAGAATTTGCATATATACTCTCGTGAAAGAAATTGCTTTTTTGGTGAGAAGAGGGACTGAAAGGTGCCTATTTTTATAATCCTTCGTTTGGATGTTTCATATAATTGATTCATCTTTCCTCTGCTTGATGTTTCATGTTGTTTTTTGTAATGGGCTAAATGCAAGAAATAGCTATGTATTTCTATTTATTCGTGTATTATACAATCTCTCTGTTCTTATTTTTTTTTGTTACACCCTTGTACCTCAATTCTTTTCTTGTTAAGGCAATCTACTTTGAAAAGTCTATAATTATAACATTGTACTTTCAGTTTTTTTTTTCCTTATCAAACATTATATTTAAAAAAAAAAAATCGATCCAGTTATAGCAGTGATAAAATGCGTTGTATTTAGACAGCATTGAAAGTACATTGTTACTTTTTCATGTTTGATCTTTTATTATTAGTCCATGTTTTTCCTTGTTCAGCAATGACATTTGGATTTCAGTAATGGGTTGTTTATCAGTTGTTATTGATATTGTTTGTATTAATTATTAAAAGGGTGTTTGGGGCTGTTTATATAAAATTACTTTTTTTTTTCTTCACATTTTGGTTATTATTCAGTTTTTACAAATATCTAATTTACATGTTTATAAATATCTTTTCGATGTAAATATGTATAAGTAGTAGAAGAGTTGCAAAATATGGTATCTGGATGTTATTCATATAAACTTTATATTATTATTACTAGATGACTCTGTTGTAACACCAAGTATCACTTATAAAAAAAGCTATTTTAAATAAGCAATCCCAAACTCCCCTAAATTTGGTTGTAAAATTGTGATTTATTGAGATTGTCCCTGAACTCTCAAAAAAAGAACAAACAAACAAAATTGGAAGAGTGTAATTATTTTAAAGAAAGTCCGAGTGACTTGAATAGAACTACTATAAAACTTTGTTACTATTTAGGGGGTGTTTGGCTAAGTTTATTAGCTTATTAGGGGTTCCACATAGCTATAAACGAAAAAAAAGTTTGATAAACCATTTTTTCATAAGTTATCTCACACTTACTTATTAACTTATAAGCTAATAAGCAATAAACTATAAACTATTTTGCTTTTTAACACACAAATGACAAAACCGGATTTGCAATCGAATATAACAGAATTCATGTTAATGAAACAAGATTGAAATTTGAGTTGAATCATTATAAACAACATGTCTACATTTAGATACTTGTGCTAAAAAGAAAGACATGTTTCACCAAGAAGCCCATAATACATGGTCTAAAGTAGTTACACAGAAGAACAATTAATTTACAAACAAGATGTGATGTGCTCCTTCTGAAAACACAAACACAATCAACTTCAAAATTCAAATGCAAATCAACTTCAATTAATCTTCTTCTGTTTGTCTTGTTTCGAGTCCGAGGGACGTACAAGATGCCTAAATGTCCATGCTGCTAATAGGGTTGCTACCATAGGGGCAAACCAGTAAACAACTAAATGCTCTTTTGTTATATGATCACCACGCGCATAAGCCCACCCCATTACCTGAAAAACCATCCAAATCCAATCCATCGAATTATAAATCTAAAAAATACCCTTACACTTTTTTACCAATTTCCACCGTTTAAACAAAATTGGGAAAAAAAAAAAAAAGTGAAACACCATTGAATAAACAAGCATTCAACCATACAATAAAATACTTGAGCATGAATAATGGAAGTAGTACTTACAGAAGCTGGGTTCATAGCACCACCAGTTAGATCTGATCCGAGTATATGAAGAGCAAGTTTTGAGACACTACTGATCCATGTTTTCCTCAAGAAACTTCCGGGTAATTTGGTAGAAACTCCATGTGAAATGAGGACAATTGTGAATGTCAACAACCCTTCGGTCAATGCACCTTCAAATAGACTAACATTCAGTCGGGGCCCACGCCCTATTTCCGGAAAGATACTGAGGATAAGCCTCACCCCACTTATCGCTCCCAACACCTAAAAATCACAACCACCATTAGTTTATAATAGCATCCTACTTTCATTTCTTTCTATTAAAACCAAACCCTAATTTGTATCTGGCTAGATAAAACAAAATTAGGGATTGATGATCTTCCAAAGTGCAATGCAACCCAAATCAGAAAACATACAGAACAAGAATTGTTATGATAATCAATTGGTCAACGGACTTGATTGATGCAATCCCAATCGCAGTTCATATCTAAACCAGTCAAAGATTTTGAGAAGAGAATATAATAGGTAACCTGAAAGGGGATTCTTGAACCAACAGTGAAGAGGAAGGTTGCGAAATTTCCAGAGATGGCGGAGGACAAGACAGTGAGGGGATTATAGGCTCCGCCATTGGTGAGCTTAGCAAGATAAGCAAAGAAGAACATGTTGAGAACGGAAAGCGAAGACCTAAACACTTCAACAGGGAAGCCATGATGGCCAAACCCCAAAACCTTGTGGACAAATAGCTTGATTATGACGCTTGACCACACCCACATGAACGACATGATTATATCAGATATGAGCAGCCGCACGATTCCCGCCATTTTGGGGGATTTCTTTCTGGAGGGTGTGTACGTGATTTTTGACTCTTGGCTCTTGCTGAAACCGATGTCAATGATTAGTGATATATGGTAATCTCGGGGGATCAATGGCAGAACTGCATTGAACAAGGAAGCGAATTGACGTTGACCCGTGTTAAAGAATCTTTTCTATCGTGTTTCAGAATCTCTGCTCTTTCCTCTTTATTTCCTCTTTCTTTTCCCCGTCTCCTCCCTTTCTTTTCCAACCTGCTGTATGGTTGGAGTGTTTGGTGAGTGGTGACTAGACATGCCAAGTTATTGATATTCTTTTTGTTAAAAAAAACATCATGTAACTTACATAAATTGAATTCTTAATGTAATAAATAAGCAACCCACTATTTAAAGGATAATGACTTGAAAGGATAACGAACTTTCGATTTTGTTCACAATCACTAAACTTTTTTTCGTTATCTATTTGTCATTGAACTATTGAAACTGTTCACATTTTACCCTTATTACCGACTGTTACCGGTCATAAGGGTAAAATGTGAACAGTTTCAATAGTTTAGTGACAAATAGATAACGAAAAAAACTATGAAATAAAAAAACAAAATGTAACATCCGGATTTCCAAGTATTATCATTTAAGTATTTTTCTTTTGAGTTAAGAAGAGAGACTTGACGAGTTGACGCCTCAACTCATCGAGTAAGGTCGCGACTAATAACTCAGATTAATGAATGGACTCAACGAGTCGGTGAGGCGACTCGACGAGTCCGCACTGTTGGCAGAAACCCTAAATCTTTGGGCCTGAGATTGCGACTACCTTTCCCGTAAGTGAGAACCCTAGCTAGCTTGAGTGTGTAGAGTGAGAGGAAGAGTTGCCCCTTTTTTACCATTAGCAAGAACTTGTTTCAGTTGCATATCATATCTTGAGCTTTTTGGTGTGATTTTGCAAGAAAGGAGAAGAGTTCCAGCAAAAGGGACCAAGGAAGGCAATGTAGTCATCTACTACAGTATAGATGGCGACCACGAGCTATTATAGACAACCATGTGGAAACACCAACATGCCCATGACTTGTAGGTGATGAATTACGAGTTCAGACGATGTTGTAACTACGTATTCATGCGATGATACTCTAGCCCCTTACTATGAATTACGAGTTCAGACGATGTTGTAACTACGTATTCATGGGATATCACAAATTCCGCATGCCAAACCAATGGTCATAATTCACATTAGTGAGAATGGTTCATTTTTTTGTAAAACCAAAATCAGATTGGAAATTTTGATTTTTTATTTTGGAACATGTCAAACCATTGGTTTTTTTATTTCGGTTTCGGATTTTTGTTTTTTTTTTGAAATATATTTTCAGGGTTTTTTTTTTTTTTTTTTTTTTCATAGATTTATTCATCAACAAATGTTGATACAATTTAACAAAAATAAATAATTTGTTAAAACATAATACAAGAGTAAGTTTGTTCACATTTAGTCATTGAACTTTTTAGAGGGAAACGAACTTTCGATTTTGTTCACATTTAGTCACTTAACTTTTTTTCGTTATCTATTTGTCATTGAACTATTGAAACAGTCGGTCATAAGGGTAAAATATGAACAGTTTCAATAGTTCAATGGCAAATAGATAACGAAAAAAAGTTTAGTGACTAAATGTGAAAAAAATCGAAAGTTCGTTACATTTTCAAGTCATTATCCCCTATTTAAAATGTTCAAAACCACCTCGTTCACCACCATCAAAACTGAAAATTACTCCGTATCAAAAAAATCGTATTTTTAACTTGGATGGACATAACTGACTGGGTCGATCAACACTTTTTAGCTGATTTTGTCAGCTTATTTGAGAAGGCCCAATGTTGGTAGACTCATCAATCACTATATCTCATGACTCGGTCCCTACTTGAAATGTGGGTGACCCCAAAAAAAAGTCTTTGCCCTGAGAAAAAAAACACTTGTTGTTTCGCTATGTTCCTCTTGTCCACTTTGAAGGCGCCACTCCTCCTTCCTGCCTCTCCATCGTCGTCGCCTGACGTAGAGCATCGACCTCCATCCAAACAACCAGAAATTTCGTCTTACTCCTTTTTTTCCCCTGAAATCAGTTGAAAAACTAATGTTGGTGTTAATGGATGAAATATGAATTTTACTCCTCCCTCTTGTCGAGGTGAATTTCTCTATATATGAAATAAGTTGAAAACTGATTTATACACTATATATGTATGAATCAGTTGAATAAGAATTTATGCTATTTATATATGTATAAAATTTAAATTTTGCTCTACATTTATGAAATCAATTTATGCTCTACATTTATCAAATCAATGGAAAAGTAAAATTGACAAATTTTGTCATTAGATACGTTTTTCTGAAGTTGCTTGATTTTCTTTTGCAATTATCAGTTTTGGGATCTTATGTTTTTTAGATCAGGTGCAAATCGTATTCTTAAGTTGAGTATGTTGGAAGGGCATCCCCAACACTAAAACAAACTATTGGTTATCATGGTAATTTCAAATACCATTGTAGGACATAAGATGAAGTGTTTTAATAGCAAAGTACTTTACTTTTTACTTGTAATCCAATAGCAATGTATGATTTTGGCACCTATTAAAATGTTTTATATGACATGACAATTATCGTAGGTTCTTATAATTTGATTCAACAACTAAAAAACATGAGTGAAACCATGAAGAAAAATGTTATCTATTTCATGTGCTTTGAAAAAAATTTACTTTGAATTTTTTCACCTCAAGTGCAGTTGTGAGAATTGTTTTTGTATTAAACAACATTGCTATAACTAAATAGATTCATGTTATGTTGCAAACATAACAAAAAGGTAAAATGGTCATTATGATTATTCAACACAGCCAATCAAATGCATAATCAAACAACATGGTTTCAATTAGATGTAGATTCAGTCAGAATTTCTAATCCACTTAGCTATAACCCAATCAGTAACTACTAAACAACCCTAAGGTAGTTTCACTTTAATAAGACTAGTTGCCAAAAACATTAAGATATGTCACATTTTATTAAAAAAATATAGATAGATCAAGTGACCTACCACCTAAGGCACATATGGACTCGCCCTTACGGACATGACTCATCGGCTTCTTCAACTACTTGAATGAAGATGGTTTAAAATTAAACTTAAGACACAATTTTTGATTATGTTGATGATGATAAACTATGAGAATCTCAATAAAAGACCATTGGATTCAAAAATAGGAAAAAGGATATCGAAAGAAAAAATAAAACGAGAGACCAAACATGGATAAAATCTATCACCAAATATTTTAATAATTAAATTCTTCGTATCCCTCACAAGATTTTTTTGAAGATTTCTTCAGCTCTCTCAACGGTGTTGAAGATTTGTGTTAAAGATTCTGCGTTTCACTTGATAATGTTGAAGATTTTTGTTAAAAAAGTATTGAAATACAAATGAATAAGATAACCGAGTGTTGCATTGAAGAATGCAAATAAACACTAAATGATTAAAGAAGAAAATTACTTTATTGGGTTCGATTTTGGTGGTGGTGAACAGTGATGTGTGGTGGTAGTGGTGGTAAACGGTGATGGGTGGTGGTGCATGGTGTTTGAAGTGGTCGTGGGTCTTTTTTGACTAGTTTACATAGTTATTATTCATTATGACATTAAACCATTAATTTACATATTAAACAAAGTATGTGAGGGTCATCATATGATGTATTAATCGTTATGAATTGCTTTAAATTACAATGTATTAACCGTTTTTTAAAGTAGATATAAAATATATTATATTATAATAAGATTAGCAACCAACTTATATTTTTAACGTAAGACAATTTGCAACCTCAAACCTAGAAAAGAAATGATATGACACAAATTCTTCATGCATTTTACCTAAATGTCGATTTCCAAACGTTTTTACCATTTAAAGTTGCAAATGATAACACATCAATACTTGGATCATAATTGTTGCTGTAGGCAAACTCCATTAATGATAGATGTGAATCATAATTCCCTCCAATGTTTTTACCTTCCGACCACAATATATCTTTAAGGTTTAAATGGTACGTTCATTTTGACTATTAGTTCGAAGATGATATGGTGTGCTTAAGTTTATTCTTGGCCTTTTTCTTTCTAAAAGCTAGGGGTGTTCGTTTGGATGGATCTATTTGATCCGGTCCAATCAAGTGAATCCGAATATATTTCGATTTTCAAAACATTTATCCGAATAGTCCAAACTAAATTTAAATCTGATCCGATCCAACCAAATTACATTCCATTGGATCGGTTTTTACAATTCAATTTTCAAGAGGCAAGACATTTTGAAAAATATATAATTTGAATATTAGCAAAATCTATAAAGAAACTATTATTTTTATAAATTATAATTTAATAATTTATAAACAAATACTAAGAAAATATATTATAATTAATATTTTATTGACAAAAAACTTTTGATAAGAAGTAATTTTAAAGTATTAAATTGGATGAAAATTTCTAATAACTAAAAATAATAATTTAGTGAATTTATAGTAGATAATAAGTTGTTATTTGGTTTTTTTTGGACTATTCGGTCCTTAGTTTATAAACCAAAACCAATCCGAAATCTAAAATAATAATTCGGTTTTGCTGAAATCAATCCAAAAATCCGAATATCCGGACCAAATAGTCCGATCCAAATTGTTTAATTGGACAATTCAGTTTTATCCATATATTAAACATCCCTACTAAAAGCTCTCCGACTCCCAATATATTAATGTAAAACAACTATCACAATCGAAAACAACTATCACAATCGAATATTAAAGATAATTACATTCCATGCCTTGAAATCAATCCATCCACATATACTTTAGCAAATTTCTCCACAAAATCATTCACATCACCAAGAAGTAGCACTCTTAGTCAACATATCTATAATCACCAAAACTATATCGCACACCTTCAACATCACTATTAATTTTGTCACAAATCAATCGTAATGTGATTCCTTCAACTATAGATTATGTTTCAAGTATAGAATACATTATATAACTTGCATTGACTTGCAATTTCATAAATCATCTAATGCATAATCGTAAGTCCATGCCATGGAATGGGTCGTTACAAGACAGTCAAGTTATACATTGCCAACTCAAGAGCCCCTTTTCATTTTAAAGCCTTATAAGTTCAAGTTAGATGGTTTTATCTACAATTCAGCATAAAGAATTTAAAACTTTTTTTAAGTTAGTTTAAAACTCGTCGTGGTGATCTTCTACAAGAAGGCATGCAATCACGAAATTCAAACGTAAATATATAAGCAATATATCAACCAAAAGAATGAAGATAAGCAAAACCATGTACAAAACAATAAGGATTA